CTGTACATTAAATACAAGTGGAAAATGCGGACTCAAATCCCGCTTACTTTAATTCAATCATACAATAACACCAAGTTATAATAACAATAAATAAATAACATCAAATGTAAATTAAAAAACACTTCTTCATGATGTTAATTAAAGTTGAATAGCCTCAACGTATTTAGCATTAATATAAACCTACGTGGTTTCTGAATGCTAATAAACATGTTTTCTGTAATTCTGAATTTTTGTAATAACAAATAAAACAAAAAAAAATGACTCGAAAAAATAAAAAATCTCACGATTATTAAGTAGGAGGAATTTTTGTATTACGTATGATTTTCACCAATTCCGATCCGATTTTAAAAATTATTTTTGCAAGCAATAATGTTAGCGATATTTTAATTTAGCTACAATTTAACTCACTGACGCGTTTATGGAATATAACTTTAAATTGTGTTATGAGCTATGTTTATTATTTACATATCTACTTAGTAATTTATAAATATATCTAGCGAAATAAAATAGTATGCAGTGGTAGAATCATTAAGATGAATCATATATTATGCAGAATAACAAAGTGCTAGATAAGACAACTCACGAGAACGCAGAAAGCGAGACAACACGCATATTTAATGAACGTTACTCAAGATTAGTAATTACTACGCCAATTGCAATTACAAACATGTCGTCAATTATAAATAAGTTTATTTATACTAACCATGTTTGTACAGTAATCTCCTAATCTTGCACAGTATAGTAACACACCACAGATATGGATTTAAAAAGATGTCGCACCGACAGTTATATGTCAATTTTCAATCCTAGATTAGGTAAAATAGAGTTGAAACCGAGTTGAAAATTTATACCGTAAAATATTTAGAGAATCTGCATTACGCATATTTTTTGACAAGTTTAGTACGGGCGTGGGTTTGTTATCAATAAATAACTTTTGTAACAGCTTAGTTTCGGTATAGTGTAGTAGCATAGTTAATTTTTATATAAGTTATTTGTGGCACCACCTCTATTTAGGCGAGAGCATCTATCATTGTCTTTACCACACTTACAGGGGCTAATTCAGTGATGTCCAACAAAAGGCTATACCGAACCTGTATGAAGATATGTATGAATGCGAAGAATCTAGGGATGTACATCAATATAGAAACAAATCGCGATCTGTGATTACTGCTTGTCCCAAAGCGAAAGACTATCTACATCTACCATTATCTATATCTGTGACACCACAATATCAATGCCTTCTAATGTGCGAGTAAACTTAGAATACCCAAACGTTGAATGTAAATAACGTGGCAATAATATTTGATTTATGATTGCGTGTCGCGGACATTACTGAACAAAATGGCATATAAATATCAGAATCAGCGGATAATGCGTACATCTGAGCCGAGTTCGTGCAATCTAAAACGCAAGACTGCGTTCGAACGGGCATTTTCGTGACTCGCGGAGATATAAAGTATATTAATGCAAGTCGTACAATAGTTGGCATATACAAGTAGACGGGTTCGGCGAGGCGTGGCCAGCTCGCAGCCGCATGGCCAGCGAAGCGTTCCGTTCTCCCACAGGGAATGGGTACCGGTATTATGGATTAAGGCGATTGAGAAATCCTATAACTATTAAAGTCTTCCATTCTCATTAGTTTGGCTTAATAAAAACAATTTTGCTTAAATACACTTTATTACGTCATCAACATTTTGACATATCTATCAGCGAAACTTAAAGTAGGTAATAACTGAAATTTTCAATCAACTATAAGAATTTAAGGGAATAATACAATATGTCGTCATTGCCCTTCTTTTTTACCTCAGGTAACCTAAACAATACAATATAATAGATATTACATCGATGTAGAAGAAAGAATCTCGAAATATAAAGCCGTCTAGAAACGTGGTAATGGTAGACTAATATAGGGAGAAATCCGTACATAGAAGTGGGACATTTATGGGCTCTTACAATGTTAACGATAACCCGGCGACGATAAATACGCACATTGTCACTATTACGTTGTGTTCTAATCTTCTCAGTCAAGTATAGGCATGTAGAGCTACAGTCAAAGAAAATAATCACAAATATATATATCACCTTCAATTGCAGTAATAACGAGACTTTAAATCTGTGAATTGAAACCAGCTATTTGAATCAGCATAGTAAAGCACGACAGAGATGTCATTTTTGTGTATAAAAAGCACATCAATACAAATTATACGGTTTGTTGAGGCCGCAGACATATTTGCGTAAACCTAACTGTATCCCAGTGAGCAAAACATGAATTGACGACTTTTTGCTGTCTTGAAAATTAACTATAATTGCTGAGAACAACTTCCTAGAGTTACTTACGACCGTATGTCATGGCTAACCTACGTTAGATGGCCATTAAGGCCATTCAAGGTCTGCAATTACTGATCTAAAAAAGGTTTAAAACATTGTTTATCACTTATGGGTATAATTTTTATATTTATTATATTACGCATTACTTTTTTTGTTACATACAATTGTGTAAAATTTAATCTATTTTATTTACATTTAATTGTTATGCTAATAATAACAATGAAAAGTGGCATGTAACAATATTTTCCAAGTATCTAATCATCGTCATCATTTCAGCCATTACCCGTCCACTGCTGGGTATAGGGCTCCCCCATAGACTTTTTTTAATGGCTGATAATGATTATGGACGAAAATAAAATTTCGTCCATATTCAAAAGAATTTTTTGAGAAACATAGTTGAACAGTTTGGTTTAAAATGGGAAAGCGTAGTTTAGCATTTACCAAAATCATTAAATTGGAATAATTAATAGCAATACCTGCTTTTTTTGAGAAATTAAAGTATAAACAAGTAGAAATATATTTAATTGACTACACGATTAATTCCATTTCAACTTAATGGTATTGGTGGTTTAAAGTGATTTGGTATGTTTATTTATTAATGTACTGTCAAAGAGACGTCGATTAACTTAATCAATGTCAATAAATATCGAAACAAGTTTAAGACAGCAATTATAAAAAAATGCAACCGTTCAACTTAGTAAGAATCGGAAACGTTAAGTCGATAAAAACTGGTAGTGCGAGACGCTACCACAAATGGATCGTACATTGGAAAATATTGTAAATATAGACATGTTTCTAGAAAAAAGAAAATGTACAATATTACAAGAAAATTATAAATTATAACATTTTCCATAAACTCTTACAACCTTAACATACACAACATTACATAACTTCAAAGCTCTTAGTTTGAAGCAGATATGAGAAAGGATTTGATTTTAAGAAACAATATAACAAAGGCGCTAGACAGACTTTGCGTCGTAAAAATATAGATTGATGTTGTACAGTCAAAAGACTCTATTATCGAGAATACAAATTGTTCTTGGAATGTTATTTCTAAATAGTTAGGAGATATATTAACTCCTGTGTAGAGATCTTTTATAATGACTATATTATCCTGCATAGTGAATATACATATCGATGTAATCTTTTCAAGATGTAGTCGGACATCGACCTGTACCTTGCACCTGCTCTCATCTGCAACGAGTGAAATGTTCAACAAAACAAGACGGATGCAAACCAAGGCCAATGTGAACAAATGACAACCTCACTCATACTATATATATATATATATATATATCATATAGTATATGCTATTGTATTTTATTACAAACATCCAAATACACAAAATGAGACAAAATTAATGATATTTTACAACTGTCACAAATAGCAAATGAATTTGATGCGAGAAGTTCGTCATAAATGGCGTTCGTTTGCGAAAAAAGAAAGTAAACTTTCACAATCGTATCTGAGTAAGCAATATGATCAGACAAATTCAAGACGTTAACAAATTTTTATGATTTACATAATCGCAGCGAAGATTATTTATCTATGGTAATAAATTACGGAAGGAATAAGTAGTAGTATTACAAATATATTATTGTTTCAGAAATCTATTATAAAATGTGTGGACATTTCAACTCCCTAAATTATAGATCAGTTTAAAACATACTCATAAGTCATAATAGCGCAACATGATGCTTATTATCTCAATTCTTAGAAGCAGTAAGTAATACACAAGTAATACGTCACATACTCATAGTAAAAGTTATAATACCTTCCGTAGTATTCATCTCACTTATTTTCAGTCATGTCTATAGGCGATAGACTCAATAAGCTGTTGGGTCAGCTTAATTGCCATTCATAGTTAAAAATTCTCTTTAGGAAGTGGTAAATCACGTTGTTTTGCATAAATGATGTCCTGGTCTTAATATCCGGTTGAACCAAGTAACGACAAATCCATTTCTAAATTAGTTGCTATTGTTACTTATTTGTTACTGAAGTATTTTGGTTTCCAGAAGGACTGGTGTTTTCTGGTACTTAAGAAAATAACAATTTTAGTTATTTATATTTCAATGGGCAAACAATGCATTGCGTAACATCATCTTACAACTACTAATGAAATAATGACTTATTTAATTGTAGTTTATTAGCAAAATTGAGTAAAGACATCAAGTAATAAACGTGTGTGATGAAATGTTTTTATTTATATGTAACGCACGTACAAAAGTAATAAAATCAGCACAAATGAAGGTATCCTTTGATATGGGAATGTAAACATGTTTTAACCGAACTAAGAATAGTAAGTAAAGCAAAAAAGAGAGAAATAATTCGTTTTTATATTGAATGTACCTACACATTCAGTTTGAATGTTGCATGTAAGAAATAAAATATAATGTGTTAAACATAAGAGAAATATTGAATATAAAATTTCGAAATCCAAAGTTATCAAGTTATAAATTCATATCACATCAATACCTGAATGTAAAAAGTATTATTGTCTAACAACAAGTGCACATAATAACAATTACAAGTACAGTGATAAAAATTTTGGTAGCTATAAATCTCAAATATATTAAGCCGTATAAACAACTGCCCTTTTTCGATAACTTATCAGTAATTATTTTATTCAGTTATAATAGTTTGCATTTATAGACAATTGTAAAATCACCAACCTTCGGATATCGTGGGCAGCACGTTGACAACGTTAACAATCCCGACGCCTGTGAGTTGACTCATTCACCAAAACCAATTTGTACACTTCCAAGAAATGTCTACCTACTAACAGATGCAGTAGAGAATACAAAAAGCCAAAACAATACGGTCACACACTTGACACTTAGTTTACTATGTAACCCACATAAATTAGTGCGAAATTAAAATTTGATCACTTCAGATTTAGGCAAATGGCACACTGTATATTACTAATTAACACTGTGCACTTTTTCCATAATAAGTGAAGAAGTAAAAAGTAATGGTGATGTATCACATAAGGACGCCCTAGATTGTCGGCGGTAGAGCTGCGCGTGCGCCGTGCAATCGAACTGACGCTCCGGGGCCTACTGGCCAGCCAGACAGACAAGTGGCAACGCCCGTTCACCAGTTCACCTACTCTTATCTTCGATGACGGCGTACTTGCTTATTCTGCGCGCTTGCTTAACTGCTTGCTTATAAGGAATCAAATGGAGTCCATTTTTAGGACAATGTATTTATTGAGAGACATTTTATTAATAAAAAAAAAAAGAGTATATAATATAATTAAATACAAGTTTCTATGGTGGAGGTTTATGGATAATGAAAAGCAGAAATGATAACGATGATTATAGGTACAATTTTGTAACAATTTTTTAACAAGTCTTATTGTTAGTAAATAAGTGACACTGACATACCAAATTTTAATCGTGAAAGTGAAGCAGTCTCTGCGGTTAACTTAGCAGGCAAATATTATTATGTAATTATTCTGTAGTTTGCAATTGCAATATTTGGATTATGACATTTGAATAAGGATAAATAAAAAATCTATACTAGATCATTTTTATAATTCAATTTTTATATTACCGAAAGAACTTTGTAACTGTCAACCAATGTATTTAATAGAGAAGGGAAAAGGCTGAATAAATTATTAATAATTTTAATAATTAACATTACCAAAACAATACAGTATACTGTATTGTTTTGGTAATGTTAATTATTAAATTGAAATCAGTTGAAAAAAACTGACTGAGAAAAGCTTTGTTGATACTTTTTAATTTGGCAGTTGATATCTATACTTATATGTTATTGATAATAAGCGACCAAAACAATTTTATATTTTTAACATTACTAACGACCCGACTAATTGATGCAAAAATGCTTACATTTTTGCATCAATTAGTTACGTCAAGGACGAAATAGATGGCTATAGGAAGTTATCCTTAAAAGAGACACATGCCATTACTGACTATTTTGTTGGCCTATAAAAGTAAAACAATTTCACCAAACGTTACTTTGTTATATCTCAATGGATTAGGGATCGTTTTCAATGAAAACTCTCAGTGAATATGATTTCTTCCGACATCTTAAACAATTTTAACAAAATAACATAAAACAATATTAAAATAGATATATAGATATTCCTTTTGAATCACTATATGAAATGAATATATATAATATATACGAAATGAAATCTATTGCGTAGTATAAAAGAGCTAAATACAGAAGCAACTTTGTTTTATAAAGCCTTAGTTCTCAAAGTGGTCCAGGGTCCACAGGAAACTCGGCAAAGGTCTACGTTGTTGTGACAAAAAAAAAATGAGGGTTCACAATTCCAGTCCACGAAAATTCAATCATATTACAATGTAATATAATAACAATATTAATTATTAGTGTAATAATTATATATTTGTATAAATACAACACAAAAAATATACTATTTTTCTTTTTATTTTTGACACTCCGTATGCGGAGTTTTCTAAATAAGTGAGAATTGATTGGTTCCTTGTGCTGTGAGTAAATGTCCAAAAGTAAAGTTAGATGAAATCAATTTTTTAATTGGCCAACTTTACTTTTTTGACACCCACTTCCAGCAAATTAATTAATTAATTAAACAATCAATTCTTATTTTCTTTTCGAAAACTCGAACTTTCGGAACTCAACACAAATTCCCATAGTTAGATCTAATCTTCACATTTTTTTGTCGAGTTTTGGAAATATGGTAGAAATGTAGTTGCAGGGGGTCTACCGGAATCAGTTAAATTTTGAAAATGGTCAATGAGAAAAAAAAATCTGGGAACCTCTGATGTAATTTAACTGGTAAGTATTAAGCTCCCGAATTCATTTAAATTGTCATACCATTCTTTGGAACGAAATATTACAAAATATAAATGAATTTATGCTTTAAATACAAACTACTAAAACGCTTTTTATTCCATATTTATTGGAAGTACGCTTATATTCCAATTCAATACTTTGAACTTGATAAGTATATATCGTAAAACACATATCACAAAAGGTCATCGATTAAATGTAGGCGATTATCATCAATTCTTAATCGTTCATACAAGGTCGGCGTACATAATTGACGTCGATAAAGGCTAGAATACTAATACGCAAAGTTTAGGTGCATGTTACAGAAAACATTCGATGCAATTATTAGTGCATAAAATTTCACACACGCTACGACGCAGTGCAAATATAGTTCTAGATTATTAGTATATTAGTACTAAGTCTAGATTATTTAGGCACTCAGAACACCTAATATCTTGGTCATCATCATCATCATCATCTCATCATATTATCTGTTCACTGCTGAATATAAGCCTACTCCATATATTGAAACTATAAAGAACGGTCCTGAGCCACATGCATCCACTGACTCCTTACAACAAACATCCAATTTTAGGCCAAGAACTCAAATTTGTTTAAATTACCAGTTAAATTTGGTCTAAAAGAGTGTGTCAATCCTTGAATGTATTTATAAAATTGATTCTTTGAAATTGATAATTAAATTTTAACGAGACTACTATTATTACCACCAACAAGCAAATTTAAAGTAATTTAATTCAAATATAAATTGTTTCGCACTGTTCTCAAAGTGGCTAACGTATATGTATGTTTCTATAATTACGGTTTCCATTTATTTTGTCTAAATTATTCGGATTTTCTTTAAATATTTTCTATAGGATTTATTACTAGAAATTTTGCTGGCTACTAGACCACTGTTATATAGGTACAATAGGTATTATTATAGGTACAATTATTTCGATATTGAATATTCTATCTATAATTGCCGTTGCTAATTTTCCGCTCAAAAGTTCTTTTGTTCGTTTTACATAGAATGTAGTAATGACGTGATGTTACTGACGTATACATACACAGTAGACGAGACTGCATCATCCTGTACACGATTGGCCAATTTATGTTTACGAAATTCAACTTCGCTAATTGGTGACCTTATTTTTGAAGAAGTCTGTTTTTCAAACATTTGTTAAGTAATAATACTAAGGATGTGATGCGTTTCGTACACAACCGTATCTGGGTTATCGTTTACAAATGACTCATATAATATTATGATTATTTGGCTTGAACACACTATCTGGTTTGATGTAATATCTATCTAGTATTCTTCCTGTAATGTTTTATTTTAAAACCAAAACCAAGTTTCGTGTTTTCGTTTCGCGGAACCCGCTATCTCCTTCTACCCATGTTCGAATTGAAAATTTTCTCTTGTTTCCTGTTCTTTGTGTCCATTACCCTGCACAAAAGAGTATCTAAACAAAGTTACCGACAGTTTTGTACAAGTTTCCAAGTTTTGGTCCAAATACATATATTTAGGTTGCCATTTGACTCGACAAAAGATTTATCCGCTGTTAAAGAAGTCTACAAACGCACTTGGTGTTAGCCGATCATGAACGAGCATTTAAATAAACAACCATGTCATTTTAAACATATTTACATTAACAAAGATTTGTGAAAGATACTAACCTTGAGTTTCTGGTAGTTTCCTCTCAACTAATGACTTTCAGAATTTTTCATTATGTTTACTTCTCCAAATGTTATGTGAAAGAGATAAATACTTACTTAAACTAATCTAGCTTTAGTCTCGTACTACTTATCATTGTAGTTAAAGTATTGTATATAAATCTTCTTTCATATATGTATAAAGAATATACATGTCACGGTAGTGTATTCAACAACGCCTGCTAGTTCCCCGATGCATAATGAATGTGTAAATGTATGTCATGAGAAGGTCGTGGCCTAGAGGTATACTACCCCGCCTTGTAAGATCCCAAAAGCTATGAATTGATATCTTTTTTTATACAACTTGGAATAGCAAACAGACGACCCATCGGATGGAAAATGATAATCGTTACCAATTTTAATTTCCAAGTTTTCTACTTAGTCGCAAATTTAAATTTTAATATTCAGTAATAATCAACACCGTTTTTTAAAAAATTGTTTTAAAGAGTGTTGGTTTTTTTTTTTATAATACTTAGAATAATAGTGCAAAGTTGCTGACATTCTTTATTATTTCAAATATTGACGCTTTTGTTATTTTACTGATTTATATGGTACTTTTAAAAAAAATACATAAAGTTATTGAATTAACTATATAAATAACATTTTAATTTTATAATGACCCACTCATATACTAATTATCACATTAAATTTTATATCGATATTTTCAACGTAATTTCGTATCCTGAAAGTTATTCACACTTAATGTCCAGATTGGTGGCGGCGTAGTAGGCGCGTCGTTCGACTCTCTATAATATGGTTGAACGCAATGTAAATATGACACGCAATAAAATGGCTAACTCATCCGTCATACTCGTGAACGGGTGATTCTAGAAAGAACTGGCCTGTTCAAGAATACTGCGATTGATTGTAACTTTGTGGCTTTTTATTTTCTTTCATTTTGTCAATACGAAGTTTGTGGTAATCATTTTATCCATGCATATTTTTTGGTTGTTTCTTAACTTTTATTTGAACAAAAGCAACAGCTGTATTCTTTACCATTCTTCTCAACAAGCTGACGGCCCAACTGATGGAAAATAGTAATCGTGTAGTGACGGAATGTTAATACAATGTTAAAAAATTCTATTTTGTCCCCAGAATGTCATAAAAGATAATTTAAGGAAGAAAGCATAATACACAAGTGCAAAAAGAACACACTGAACTAATATGGCAACAGTACATATATTAAGTGGGAAAGGGATTCTTAGTAATGCGAACTACCAGTCCCATTGCTAGCAATATACCCTGTCAGGTCGACCTCGACGTGGTTCTCCATGGAAACCATCGTGCTGAATTCCAGATGTATTCATCACGATGGGCTAACTGACCAGCTTTTTCATTCTCACTTATTATCCCTCACTTGGATCCCGTCAGCGTATACCGTTAGCGCAGGCGGGGTTACCATTCCATTATTATCCATTAAAAATGTACATATATCATCAGAGAGAGAGAGAGAGAGCTATACCCCGCTGTGAACAAGTTAATGCACTGTTACGGAAAAAGTAAGCTAATCTCAAAGAAGGTGATAGTTCGTAATCTTTTATGTAAGATTCAAATTCTTGGCGAAATGCGATCCAATCGTGTTACC